AGTGAGGTGTACCTACAGGGAGTTGCAGAGGATGATATGGTCAGGGCGACGGTGCTGCAGTAGCTTGCAGAGGTGACTCTCCACCATATCAGTGGTGGTGGTGTGAATTGGCGAATGGAGTGGTCAAGGGTTGTAGGGAGTGGCAGTGGAGAAAGGATGCGACTGCACTTGCAGGTACATTTACTACAATGAGGGGAGGACGGTAGAGAGCTAGGTGGCAGAATAGGGGAAGGCGGTCGTTGGCGAACGTATTGATCCGACGGTGGTGGTTGTAGGGCGAACTGGGTCCATGAGTAGGAACAGCGAGGCGAGGACCCCTGCACCCCGGCGCAACGCGCAAAATGTTGCGTAACTTGGAAAAGGGGGTGACCGGGTGGCTAAACGAAGGGGGTCGACGCTCGGAGCGCCCGGTGCATTGCCTTTGCAACGAATATTTCGGTGGTTGCACGAGAACTGCAGCCCGTCATCGGGCAATTGTTGAATAATTGTTTAGTGGTTTAAATATTATTATATTATGTATAATTGTTAAATTTTGTTTTCATATGTGCTATATTATAAAAATATGTACTTCAAGTTTCAGAATAATATTAGTCGTTTTTATAATTTTTACTGAAAAAACAATTCAAATTTATTATTTTTATGTTTTTTTACAAGGAAATTTCTTTTTATTTAAAAATAACAACGCAAAATTATAAAAGACTGAAGATTGACGTCATGTAAATAAAAATAAAAAATATTAAAAATAAGTCTAAAAACTTATTACAGATTACATTTAACTCTGTAAAATTCGAGTACTCATAATATTTTAATGCGGAATTTACGTTGTGAGCTTCATATGATGAGAAGTAGAAAATTTAATTTTACATTTTCTATGTAGGTTAAACGCTATTTGAACACAAAACGCTTCCATCAAAAAAAAAAAAAAACAATTTTAGTACAATAATGCTTTATTGATTTGTTCTCGACGAAAATTCCAGTCCAGATTGCACTTGCGCGGTTCATATTTACAATATGCAAACTTCCTGAATATTAGGTAAACCACATTATTGAAATTGTAAATTGGTTTTAAAAACTTTTAATTATTGTATTCTAGTATAATATAATATTTACAATTATACTGTTGTTGAGTTTAAAATTTAAATATGAATATAGTTTAATAAAATAAAAGCTTTATATTACAATTATTAAAAATGTTAAATTTCAAAAATTTAATTTTCCAAAAGTGTTTAAAAAGAAATTTTTAGAAATACCAAGAAACTTTTGAAATTTATGTAATTTTATCCTTCATTTTAAATATAACTTTATACTAACTTATTTGTTTTATAAAACTTGAAATATATTTCATCAATTAAACTTATTATTATTAGCTGTAGTCTGTAAATATTCATTAAACATTTCACCTCAATAGTGTACTTAATATTAAATTATTTTAAAAATTTAAATTTTTTAAACTAATTATATAATTTCAATTATTATCATAAATTAAAAAGATATATACAAAAAAAAAAAAAAAATTACTAAAACATTTTTATTATATACTAACATGCAATAAAAATCTTCAGAAAACTTTAAAATAAATTCTTAGTTGATAAATTTTACAAAAACAAAATATTTTTTCAATAAATTACTAAAAAATGGTATGATATTTAATGTATTTGCATATCAACAACGTGAAAAAATAAATAAATATATTTCTTGTTTACAGATGAAATACGCAATGATGTATATTATATATTTAAATTATATAAAAATATGCAAAATTGAATACCCATCGCCTCGTTTAGAATTAAAAATACAAGGTTTTCTTGATGTTGTTATAAAGAAACTTGTACTTAAAAGCTACAATATAGCTATGATAATTTGAACATAAATACTTTTAACAAAAAATTTTAATCTAACTTTTTTGTGATACGAAAACGAACAACGATGTGTGCATTATTTACATTCGGAAGGTATTGTCGAAGTATAAAAACATTTTTATGCGGCGAGGGGCGTTAGCCGTTATGGTCTTATAGATAAGAATAAGTATAACCAACGTGTAATAAATAATAAAAATAATAATAATAAAAGTAAAAAATAACTAAAAACGGCGAGAAATGAATTCGTTATTTTTAACATCAGGTCCCGGTAAAACTTTTTAAAATAACTTTATAATTAATACGGCTAATTATAACTATATCTGCGATTTTTGAGAGATGATAAGGTGGCGTCGTCGGTGATGCGAGAATTCGTACAAACAGTATACTCATGAATCTATTGTGTAATGGAATGCGTGAGCCAGTGTTAATGTAAGTTCGTGTTAACCTCGTTGGTAGTTAAATATAATTTGAAGGACCAGCCGAAAAAATTTAACTGTAAAGAGTAGTTACGCAGCTGTGAGGGAGTGTACACATTTTTGCGGGCTGCCAACCTGCATATTTTATAATACGACTGTTTTTTTTTTTTTTTCATAATGGGCTTTCACCCGTATTTATTTTTTAAGGATTAAAAGGTTTTTTATTATTTAATCGGGGTTTACCGATCCCGCTCTCACTCTCGACCTGCGTCGCAGAGTTCGTTCGCACCGCTGCAAATACTTGTCACGGTTCGTCGTACTTCGCTCAACGAAGATTGCCCTCGCATCCTAATTCCGTTCCAATTACCGTCTTTTTACTTTTATTATTATTTTGCTTTATTTTTATTATTCGTATTTTTTGATCCTCTGTAGACTTTGGATTTTTCCCGACGGAACGGTGGCTTCGATGTCTCAGGGGACACGCCTGGACGCCTAAGTACCACAACGTCAGCGAAACGAAGACGATGGAAAAAATAATAATAGTAATACTAATACGACAGGGTTCGATGAATATTTATAAGGTTTTTTCGTGATCTTTGATTTAGTAGAATTTTTTATCAACCAAAATATTTCGTTTTCTACGTAGGGGAAAAATGCATATTGTGTTCGTGTCAACTGTCAATCAATATTTGACATAGTAGTGTTTATTTTATAAATCAGTGTAATAACAGTAGAAATTTATATTCATGTAGTAATATTATATCTTGTGTACTAGTAAAGACATTGTGAATACTATAATATGAGAAAAAACACGATTTCGAATAGGTGCAGAGAAAAATATATACGCTGATTCTATTGATGATATTCGAAATCGATACGACCATTACTCTGTCACTTTATACAGATCACGTGATTTATGTATTATTTATACAAGACATATCAATTTGACATAATGTTTTTCTAACACGACACTCAACGTTTGACAACCTGATATTGATTGCAATTTAACTATTTTCGAGTAACTTTTTGGTTAATTTGATATGTGATTATTTATATTTATGAAAATTACATTACACTTTTAAACGGACGATTAAATGTCATACCACTTCGTAATATCATTGAATTAGCTCCGTCTTATACAAACACGAATTTTGTGATCAGCAGACCAACAATTACCAATCGCTTGCGTAAATAAAATTATTATATTATGTATTATTAAAGTACCATCACCACATTTAGTTTGTATTAAGAATTATAAATATAATATCTTCCTATGAATTATGATACTTTATAATATAATGTTTACCATGTTGAACTATTTGCGCGTGACAGCAAGTAAATTTCGAAGTCGTAATCTTAAAGTAGATATCTTTCTTATGTGGCTTAATAATGAGAAACGAATTTAGACTGATATTTATTGGAAAATAAGAAGCATTTATCTTCCAATAATATCTAAAGATTACAGATCAAAAAATCGGAGTGAAGCAATCGATAATCTAACTAATAAATTGTAAAACGAAGAAATTTCTAAGTTATACAAAAGTAAAATAAGTATTCGATTGCCTAATATTTTTTTTCTTTTCTTTGAATCTTTATTTATTTGCTGTAGACATTTTCGTACAATCATAAAAATATATTGTTTTTTTTTTTTTTTTAGAGGAAAATTGACAGTGTAAGAAAACGGTATCTCATTTTTTGAGAAAAATGGCGACGGCCATTATATTTGTTTAGAAACTCATATATTTCGTTTGTGAGTTTATGGTCTGGTTTTTATTTTTACGTTCAATCTTACATATCTCAGTCGTGTAAGAACTTATGTACCCACATTTTAAGTTAAAACAAGACCTGATGTAGGTATGTCTTGAGAAACTCATCTCGCAGTTACTGCCTACCCGCCCACGGTCGTACGAAATACTTTACGGTACTATAGCCAACCGTCGCGGTCCTCAAAGGTACATGAAAGCGCCACACTCCTTTTGTACGACGTAATATAATACCCACACAAAATATCCATTGCCTTTTATCGTATAATACTATATATATAAATACTGCGTAAACCTTTTTTTCATCTCCTTGAAGGAACGGCACTAAATCAAACGTGACGCGACAAGACGTCTTTTGAAGACGTGCCTCTGTGGTTAATGCACACACCGCTCGTGACTGCTGCAGTGTTGAACATATTATGCGATATATTTTCCGCGAGACGCGCGTGTTTACCCCTGCAACGACAACGTTATTTGCATTCGAAATGTCAAATTACGTTTCAACGCCAGTTTTGTTAATCGACGCAATTAGCACACTCTAAACACTGTTTCATAACATTGACATTTCCCAAAGGCCTTGCAATATATATATATATATGAGTAAACCGCGTGTCTCTCACTATCGTATTTATATACATATTTATATACACTAATGGCACACGCGCGCGCGACGCCTAATCATCGTTCCACGTCCCCTCTTTACGTTATTATTATTAATCATCAAGCAGCGTTTGTAGCGCGTTTGTCGTACACAAAATATATTTTATTATTATTATTATTATTATTATTATGTCGCCGTCGTCATCGTAATATTATCATTATTATTACTATGTTTTTCCGAGCGATTAAATACTGTGAAGACAGGTCACAGTATTTATAAATATTCATATATAATATATTATTATATGTACTTACAACGAGCCTCGAAATATTCGTCGCAATATTTTATATAATTGGTAGAAATGAACGAAAAATCGTGCCATCCGATCACAACGAACAGCCAGCGAGTGACAGTCGAAATCCCCGAAGGATTGCCGGCCCTAATAATGGTCGTCACTCGAGAGGTGAGTATACACTACACATATAAAAACCTGAAAAACCTAAATCTATTTGGTCTTAAATAATTGCCATTTTATTAACACGCTTAATGTCTTATAAATTAGACAAACCATGTCACATATGTGTTTTTCCACATTTCACGTGTATCAAATTGACGTGGTCAAACCACTCACCACTCCATAATTTGTCCTTTATGAAGAGATCTAAAACTTCGCTCGACTGTATATTCTACTAGTATTTCGTAGGCTATACAAGTAACTTATTTTTTTCCGAACAGATTAGGCCTTTTAGCATTGAGATACGCTTTTTTTTTATCCTATTAAACGGCTCATTTTCAAGTTTATCATATAGAAACCAATAACAGCTAGTGGAGTTAGTTATAACAATTTTAATAACTTTTAAAACTTTAATTTTTTAGTATTCAATTTAATTAATTAAACAGAAAATAGTTATTATTATTTGTTTATTATTACATAGTTAAGGTTACAGACAAATAAAGTAATAGTTAAAGAAATTAAATACCAGCTTTGGTGTATTTTTATTAATTGATAAATATTTTAATTTAATTTTATATTTTTTCAACCAAACTGAATTGAATACGTAGGATAACTAGTATAAGTTATAAAATGCATAACTAGGTGTTGCGTCACAATCCTGAGGACGAGTGCAAGGCATATTTGATCATAGCCAGTTACTTGGAAAAAATGGTCAAAGAAAATCGCGAAAAACCCATCTCTTCTATAAATAACGAATGGACCCGTGAAATTATTGCTCAAAATGTGATAAAAACGGTGGAAAAATACGGTGTAACGACCGAATCGGCTAACGATGCTGCGACTTTAATACAAGTAATTCGCCAGAATAAATCGATTATTATAATAACATAGTATATTATAATAATATAATTTTGTCGTTCTTTTGTTCAGAGGGCTTGGAGAAAATACAATAAACAAGTTTCGAAATTAAAACACGATTCTTTGGAAACAGGAGACCATATCCTTTCTAAAGAATTTCGGGAGGATATTTTAGAGGAAATTAATTACGAAAACGATTCTGACGATATGGAACGTGTGAACGTAGTAAAAAAAGGCCAGAGAGACTATGTGCCACCGATTCCAGATTTCATTGACGATTTATACTCCTCAAAATATGTAGAAAATGTAAACGGTCAGCCAAAGAATATTTCTTATGAAGACGAAGAATATAATTTTTATAATTTGTAATTGTAAAAGTGTACACATTTTTTATTAATTTATTTTTTGTTTATAAGACTGACCATTCATTATGTGCAGACAGTAATGAATTTCGTTCGTGTAAACTCTATAATATTTTGTTTAATACCCTCAAACAAGCATTTTAATTATGTATTTTATACTTGCAAGATCGTCACCATGTTTGTTTCTGACTTGTAAAAACTTTTTAATTATTTTTTCAAACCTTATTTTAGAGAATAATTATTATTTAATTCAGTTTTAAATCCAATCTTACCTACTTTTTTTACAACAATCAAAAAAATAAAGAATACTTACTTTTTTTAAGATTATAGTACGATACTATTAGTGAATAAATGAATACCGGATTAATTAGTGTCAAATAATGTATTAGATATATTAATCAATTGATTTCAGTTGTACAAGAAAATATCAAAAAAAAAAAAAAAAAAAAAAATACAAACAACTAAAGTAGATACCTTTGATGTCTGAAAAATAACTTTTTAATATCCATCATAAAGGAATGATATGACTATCTTGACATTTTCAACAATGTGTCAAATATGGTACAATTGAACGGGTTACGTATATACCTGAAGTATATACTGCAATCACCAAGCATGTTCGTCCCCTTTTTATTTTTCGATAAAGCAGTTATTCAAAATTAGATTTTTAGAGTTTTAAAGTTACTTACAGACCATAATATCATTAAATTCTAGATACTTTTTTTACTATTCAAGGAATGTTTCGTGGAAAATATATTTAAAATAACAACTTTATCTATTAAACAGTAAACTACGTATTATCAGGTATTTATTTTTTTTTAAACTGTGACGTATTAAAATCAAACTTCGAACGAGTAACTTTTGTTTTATTTAACTTTGTTAAATTTTTAACATACCAATGCCTAATAAGTAATAAGTCAATGATAATAAGTTTAGAATATAGTAAAAACTAAAAATAATGACTATAATCAATTTAAAATTATAGTAATTTACATTATTCTATCAATATTTATAGTTTATAAATATGGTTCAAATATAATAAATACTACATTTTAATAATAAATCTATATCATATTTTTGTAAAGCCATTTTTATGGAATTTTATTCTGAATTCTTAGTATATACATTATACATTTTAAAAATTAAAACATGTCTCGTTTGAATTTTGAATTATATATTTATACTAAAATTAAAAAAAAAAAATTATCAACTAAATAATTATCAGTAAAAATAGAATCTTGTTTTACCACAGAGCACGTCTTAAATAATGTTCATCTCAAGAACCTGAGAATTCGATATTTAAATATATTTAAAAATTCTAAAAATCAAAATTTGAAAAATTTTACTATTGAATTATTAAACGAAAGTGAACATGATAGACGAATCATCTCAACAGCAGTTGTATATGTACCTAATAATATAACGATAATAAAGCCGTTAAAAAACGTCCCAAAACATCTTTGATACATACACTCACATTATACTTGCATCCAATGGTGTATGTGTAATAATGTACATAATGTATTAAGTGACGGTAACCCAATACTGTTTTAGAAGTAGTATACGTCTTAATGATATAAAGTTCGGCGAGGGCGTCGACTGGTATGGAGCGCGTATAGGTAGCGGTGGTGGCGAAATGCACATTATGTGTCCGGGGCCGAGAGACGTCGGTAATGAAATAAAAACAAGGTATTTATAATGACATAATCGAATGGTCTTGTGTCAGCAATTTGGACCCGGAGGCTACAAGAGCAACGGATGACGGGTCGGACGTGCAGCACGCGTGTCTGGGTTGTCGATGGCCGCGCGACTCGGCTGAAAATTATAACGGCAATCTCGTAAGCTGGACACGTACGGCCGATAATATTACCACCGAACATTTGTGTGTGCATATATATGTCTAAATGTATATATATATATATATACAGATTCGTGTATAAAAAGAGTGAGAAAAGGGGAGTGAGGGAGAAAATAGAGTCGAAAACGATTGATTTTGGAGAGGAAAAAATAGACAAGAAAGAGGGAGAGAGAGAGAGAGAAAGAGAAAGAGAAAGAAACGCCTCCAGAGAGATATCAAGTCTCTTTTGTGTAGGGCAAAGGGGAGAAACGACTCGTGTTCAAAAATCAAGCGCGTACTCTCCACGCGTATAATGAAACGAAAGGATTTCGGGACTGGTGAGGAGGGATGCAGAACGGTTGACTTTGTACAAATAGAATTACAGCGCGGTAAAACATTATTGTTGGATGCAAAAATTCGAGTTAGTGCGCTCGTCTCGTTCTCTTTTCCAGATCGAATATAAATTTGACTGCAAAAAAAGACTGAATCACCGTTGCTGGTTTTCAATATCAGTTGCGTTCGGCTCTTATTCCATACTGTACGCGTAATATTTGCGTATAATATATACATTTGTATATTGTTGTCTGGTGTGTATAATATATGAGTATCATATGTATAAATATATTTACAACGGAGGACGCTTATTTGTTTCTGGTCGCGACGGGGATGCAAATTATAGGCCTGAAAATTATCAAATCATGTATACGGAGATGAGACGAGTATATTCGAAAAGTTTTGCCGTATAATATAATATTATATCACGATATACATAACGATTGAGCCGTTGACGAACGTATAGTGCGGCGGGGGTGCGGTTTAATATGTAAATACCATGAAACCACGTTGGAACACTCCGCGTTTCTTAAAAATATTAAATCAAACCGAGCGAATGATTTGTGGTATACGCATGGTTTAAAAGAAACACACTTGTGGATGAATAAGAAAATATTATATTTTATAAATCAATGGCGTAAAAAAATGTTTTTCTTAAAACGGTTTTCTGACGTTTATGTTGTTATGTACTCATTTATTATTTATTCACAAAACGGTACACATTTCCGTCACACAGTCTTCAAGTCCGCTTCAGCAACGGGCTTATACAAAAAATAACACGTTTAAAGTCGTGCGTCATAGATTTGCAACAGCAGTGATTGGTGCGTACAGAGATTAATTCACGCGAATTTCAAAACTGCGACGAGCGGTGGCAATATAATATAGTATTCGACGGGAAATAAAATGACGAGATAGAAATTTCCGTAGAAGGCAGAAAAAAACGAAACGGAGTGAAAGATAACGAGAATGAGCAAAGTGCCGTATGTTTGTATGTGTGTGAGAGAGAGAGAGAGAATGAGCGAACCAGTGAGAAAAAGAAAGATATTTTAATGAAACCCAAAGATCAAATCGTTTCGCAATCCAATCATCGCACGAGCGCGCGCGTCGACAGATCGTATTATACACATTACATTATATATATTATATGTTGTGGAAACTCGGCCCTCAGGACTGATGACGACGTTTATTTAAATTAAAAATAAATCAGACCGCGCACGCGTTTTCTCGGCGTATAGAGGGAGAGAAGAGAACTGGGTTTTTCATTTTATTTATATTTATATAAAATAGTGACTGTGGCGTTCTATTTAAGTTTAGGAATACAATGTATTCTCTATGTACTCTACGAAAACGACAACCGAACGGATGATATATATAATATAATAATAATAATAATATACGTATATAATGTGTGTACACGAGCTAGCGGTAGACGCTGAACTTTATGGTGGCCATCCATCACTGCGCCGCGGCGTAAACGACGTCACCGGCAAAGCATATAATATTATAAGGTTTTTTTTTTCTATTTCATTTTCTCCAATCCTCTCTCGACAGACTATAAACAAACACACACATACACACACACACACACACACATCACACGTGTACCTTTAGATATAATACGCGTCACGGATTTCTCTAGTATTCCGAGAGACAGCATTTTGGACGAAACGTCGTCGAATCCCGTGGGGGAGACGATGCGACTCGTTTAGAAGTCATTTGCGTCGCCCTCGAGCCCGTGATTGTCTACTCTTCTGAACTCGTTTCGATTCGCGCACAAACACGACGAACGTACGCGTATAATCACTACATTATATTGTATAACAAAAGGGAAGCAAAAACGTCCCACGCGTCGTACTGTTTGCACCCTTCGCAGTCCACGGCACGCGCGAGCGTCGGAAAGGTTTTCATTTAATCTCACACTATTCAGGGTAGGTAATACAGTGTACGACGATCCAAATCTCAGACAAGACTGAGCAGTTTCTTTTTCATGAGTGTAGTATGTGTTTATTGCAGTACAACGACGATCGCTCGCTCATTCGGAGTTATAACCACCCCATACGTATCGTAGTTTAAACAGTGACACCTTTATAATTATACTGTAGATACATTGGTATCACTCGTATTTATGACAACGTAATAGATATAACTGTAACATAATGCACCACAGAGGGTACATTATACACCTAGGACCTAGGTGTAGATGAGAGTTGATTTGCATCGTTCACACACGCATGGATTTTCATTTCGTTTTGTTTTTTAGTTCTCTACACAAAAGTTATAACATGCACATCATCATACAGCAGTAAGGCAAGGTCGTATTGCACTCGGATTTAAAAAAGACAATTCTCAGATTTCATTATTCACCCCAATTAATTCCTAAAACCTATTTACTAACAAATATTTGTCGACGATATCAAATCTAAAACGTATATTGTTTCATTATAATAATTGCATACAGACTACTGCTGCGATTTAAAAAATAATAATTTAAAAATATATACGAATTTATGTTTATTTATTGATTAATTATTTATTTTAATGAATTTGTTGAAGTACTAAATTTATTGACACGCATACAATTGTCAGCTAAAATAAATATATTTATAAGTCTTGTCTCAATAGAATGATTGGATAGAGTGTAATTTGAACATTACCTGTTTTAACCAGAGTCTAGATGTACAATTCAAAAATTTTGGTTTAAGTAAAAGGAGTGCAGTTCTACAATCAACATACATTATACAATTACACAAAACTAAAAAATAAATAATTTAAAAGCTGTTAGAGCGTCTTATACACGTGTGTTCTCAATATGCAACTATACATGTCCCTAACAATGTGTAAATGTAAGTATATAATGCCCACTTGCTCGATCATAATCACGACTTGTCATTTAAATAGCAACACTATATTATA